GGTCTGTTCCCTTGAGCAAATCGAAGGAGGGACACACAGTTGCCCGAGAAGCTACTCCGGCCTCTGATTATGCTCGGTCTCATCAACCTGGCGTTATGGCTTCCTCCACTTCTGGCATCGGAGAAATGGCTGCATGCAGTACATCGGAACTATCTACCGGTAAATCAAACTAAATCTTTTTTCCTGCCTTCGCTATATTCCCAATTATCCAGCATATTTTAGGTAGTATATTCCTCCAGAAAAACACCATCGCAAGCTCAATTGCGTAGTATTCTTTCTCACATGCTCCCTCGATTTTCGCTATATAAACACCTTTTAAAGCGAATTCGGAAACTACAAATGCATTTTTGCTTTCCATAAGTTTGTGCATATAAAGTCCTAGTCTTTAATCTAATCTATTTCACACAGCATAGTTTTAAAGCCCGGACTTGCTGTCGCAACTCCTTGTATTCCGAAGGAAACAAAATAGACAAAGCAGATGAAGGAAGCTCAGTGACTGCCTAATTTACTATGCTGTTGATATTACCGTCTATTCAGTTTTTTGGTCAGTGAGGCGACGGTAGCGAAAGCGCAGACTTGCTCCCATCCTCCGGCTGGGCGAAGGACTGCGGTGCATAACCCGGTAGCGCTTTCGCTACGGTTAATCCCCACGATAATGAAGTCTTTTATGCTGACCGCGTCTTCTACTAGTGGTCCTAGTTATGAAATGGCCTGAGCGGCAGCCTTTTCATCATGTTCCTTAACTGGTTAAAATGCCGATAGCGGACAACTTTGCTACATGCGACTTACTCGATTAAATGCCTTAGAAGATGTCTCGATTGCTCTTTATTATGTTTGGCTACCGTCTAAGTTCTTGCGTTATTTATACTGTATCACATGCAGTAGAGTAGTGTATTACATAGAAAAGGGTCTACTGCATCTGGTACATCGACTAGAAGAAAACTCTTTGAATCACAGTTGGTCACTGTCTTTCTATTGAATCAGGAAAGAGAGAATTTGTCGGATAATCCAAGTTAACACGTTCTTTTGTTCTAAATTCATTGAGCAGGTCAACGGTAGCAGTTAAATTATTAATTTTCCAACGCAAATAACGCGTGTCCCTCTTCAAAATCTCCCCAGGGACGGCAGTATTTATTGCCGACGGGTGAACTTAATAGACTTCTGCGTAGTCGCTGTATTAGCAACCTAATTCGAAGAATTGATAAGCTCCCAGTAAGAATGCCTTATATAATTTCGACAGTTAGGTAATAACATGTGCAGCAAAAAGCTACGGCAAAATACAGGATGTACTATTGCAAACATGGCGAAAAAAACCGAAATGGCTGTTTCTAACTTATTTGCCGTCGGAAGTTATGTCCACTCTGAGGAAACAGGACTCGAACCTGGACTGTTTGATCGCTGAGGCTTTACCATCGAACCATAAGTTCGCCGCCCCTCAGTGCTCGTCAGACCGGATAACAATCAAAAGTGCGCCATTTTTTATATATTTCAAAGCAACATCTTACTCATTTTCGTTGTTGTTTGAAGATGCATCCTCCTAGCCACAACTGGCTTCACAAAGAATGAGTTACTCCTGCATGCAGTAACTCTGGCTCTAGGTTTCTGAAATTGGTACAAACTCGGACTTCTATCTCTTCTACCGAAGACAGAGAAAAACTATGCAAAGTGTTGTGTAGTTCCTTGTGTTTAACAACGACGCATTGCATATTCCTTCCTCCAATTCTCACATGTCTTATGATTGCTAAGATAGATGCTTCAGTTTTTTTCCTAACTCATCTAAGCCACTTATTTCCTTGAAAATCTGCGGACAGAAAAATGCTATGCCTCGTTTGACACAGTGCCTCATTACGAAAAATGTTGACTGACAGCCTGATTTCGTAGGCCTTAGTCAGAGACTCTAACTGGCCGGTTAACCCTCATGTTTAGTCTCATAACGTTTTTTTGTGAAAAGCTTCAAGATTAAGATGTCAGTCACAGTCGAACTCGAAATGGCCTCATTTGTGACTAATTTCTGGTCTGTCTGCTCTGCTTTAAATGTATTGGGTCGACACGAAAGCAATGCTTGCACTTCCAGCGAAGTTAATAAGCACCGTCACTGTTTTAATGGTCTTTGGCAACTGTACAGTAACAGTTGGCACGGTAAATGTTCCATATGTGAGTACGTATCTGCTACCTTAGATAGGTCTAACAGCTTGTTCTGAGGGTATCTTTAAAATGCACTAGGAGGGAATACACAGGTTAGAGCTCTACTTTAGAGACCTGGTTACGGTAAAAATTCACTGATTCAGATTCAGACCTCAGATTTTCCGGGTCAGGTTACATGCTTTGGCTGAAACGGCCAGTTACTGATTCTCTATCCGCGTTGCAATAGTACGCCAGATTGTTTCGAAATGCAGAACTATTTTCATAGATCATGTTTTGCTCACCGGACTGAAGTCACTGGTTTGCTGACGTTTCGGACACCTGGGCCGGCTGTTCTTTGTCGAAGCGTAAGCTGACTTTATCGATCAGAAAAGTTAAAGTTGTGGCTGTACGTGTTGGCCATTGGCT